TCAATCAAAAAATCCATCAATCAAGCATCAAGCAACTCGATCAATCAAGAAAGATCAGTTCGGCCTTCTGAGAAGCAGAGCATAGAGGATTCAAAAATCATGAGCAGTTAAGCTTTTCTTTTCTGGTTCAAGGGGGGATGTTCGATTGTGTCATCGTGAGGTTCAGTATTTAATTCAAGTTCTTGCTTTTTAATTCAAGTATTCATTGATTCTTGTGCTTGTTCTTGTGGAAGTTAATGTTGATTAGTCTGACAAATTAATTAATGTTGATCTTCCTACTGCTATCCATAATTCGATGATCCGTAATTGTCATGAATAGTGGTACAAGTAGCAATTAGGTTAATATCTTTTTGGGCCAATTGTTCATGACAGCCTTTGACCAATGTATTGACATGTTTTAACCTAAAGGGAATCAATGGAACAAGATTTGATAATTGCAGCTATCTCAATTATTTTTATTTTGGTTTAACTATTTTCACGGAAGTTATTGCTATCATTAATTGATATGGAACGCTATTGTGCCCAGTCGGTCAATGATAAGTGTTGATCGAATGCTGGGTTTGGTCAACTAAATTAGGAAAACATGAGGTTTATTATGAATATCCTAATAAATCCGAAGGTTAAATGCTTGAATTGCAAGACTGCTGATTTTTACCTATGATCGATGACCAATTGACTCAATTCGAACCCTTGGATCAGAGTTGGTAAGACTGAATATTCCTTGTTAGTTGTTATTTACTCTTTTGTTATTTTAGAATTTTAATTATTCAAATTTCCCACTCTTTAAATTGCGCATTCGGTTGAGAAACTAATTACTGGCTCCCTATGGGATTCGACCTGGTACCACTGTTACTACAATTTTGTTGTAAAGTGGGACTAGAATTAATTTTGAGGGCTTTGACAACCCGTCATTTATCCTAATCTCAATGTAGAAGGCTTCTGTTAAACAGTGTATGCCCTTAGCTCCAATTAGATTGATGTACAGATACATTTATTGTAAATGAATAAAAGTGCACTACTGTTTAATGTTGATATTGGTATGTTTCTATGAAATTACCACTTAAATTGGACACTTATGAGACTTGTGTTAGTTTATAATGTTCTCAGTCGTTGGATAGACTTGGGGAGTTTATCCTACCAAGGCTAACACTAATGTGCTGCCAAAGAAGTTGGGGAAGCTTGTCTCAACTACTAGGGTTAGACCCAAAGAACATGTATAGTGTGTTTGGATGAAACACTAAACCCAGACCATTTTCAAGTTATGCCCTGAACCTTAGAGATTGATGGGCAAAATTGGAAAGTTACACATAACCCCTAGACTTGATTATGGTACTACACTAGGTATTGGATTGGGCGGTCTTTGATATGCCAATCAGTGAAATCCATCAAGGGTCAAAACCTGGGTATCTTGGGGCAATTTGAGAATTAACCTAAGTGGGTGATCATAGTGACAGGATCGACCCCTTTGTCGGACAAAGTGAATTATGGGGTTTACACTCTCTTTGATGGAAAATGAAACTGCCAGTGGGGGATTTCAACAGTGTTTGAGATTTGGTTTTGCAAAATATATTTATGATATATATGTATATATATAAATATTTATTTATTTATTAATGTTTTATTAAAAAGTTTGCAAAAGGTTTTAATTCCTAGGATCCATCTGAGTAGAGAGTGTGACACTGCACCTTGTAGCCAGGGGAGAGGTCTTTCCTTGTCGAGCACTATTTGATCATTGTGGGCCAAGAAATTAAGTGTAAGAGACCATTAAGGGCTGATTACCTAATGGGCTTTATCTTACTTAAGTCCATTATCCTTAGGTCTTCATAGGATAGCTGAATTCAAGGATCATTTAAGTGTAAATACTAGGCCCATATTGAGCCCATAGTGATGTGCTCAGTGGTTCACAACATTTAGTAGTGAATTCGGCCAAGCCTTTTCACCAAGGCTAGGTCGAACCCATGTTGACTTATGTGAGGTCATTATGGGATCCCACATCATACAAATAAGGCCTAAGTGGGCCCAGAAACACTCTAGAATCGTGAGCCTTATAGCTGATGGGCCTAAGGCCCATAATTAATATGATTAATTAAGCTATCACATGACAGCTTAAGTTGTCATGTGCCATGGGGTGGATCTAGGTTTGGATTTAGGTATGGAGCACCTGATCTTATAAGAAGATAAGATATATCTCTAATTAGAGTCTAGATCTGATTTAGGTCTGGATTTTCTCCTAATTAGATTAGGAGATTGCTCCAAAAGAGATTATAAAAGAGGAGGGGGCGGACTAGTCCAAAACAACTTCATATTTTTGCAATTTCTGGTTCTCTCTGCACCCTTTTATCTCCATGTTTTTTCCTAGTTCGACATCAGCTATCTAGGACTGATTTAGATCAATTTTGCTCTGATTTTTGCAAGAAAAATTCAGGGAATATTAGGCTCATCATCCTCAGTTCGATCCAAGCATTTGGATATTAATTTTTCTGAAAACTATGTTGTTGAATCAGCTTCACCTATACACTACGCTATCTTCACTAGAGGCTGGTTTTAGGACTGATTTGGGCATGAAATTCCACCTTGGGATCTACATTTGTGGTATCTGTATTAGGTATACATCTCCCTCTTTGTATTTGGGTGTTCTCTTGTATTTGGGCAACTATATGAGGGCTTACTTGTAATTTCTCTCAATAGTATAAAATTCCAAGTTTAAGAGAGTGAACAGTAACTTTCTCTTCTCCATTTGAACCATTCTCTCTTCTTTTCTTCTCCTTTACTCTTTGTTTTATTTCTCAAAAAAACCTAGATATTGTAACTTAGTAATAGAGCAACTAGAAGGTCATGGAGAGTCATCCTCTATTGGTTTTGGCTCAAAGAGTGAGCTGCTAATGTTAGACTACTGACGGATAACATCAGTAGTCTGTACAGGTGGTGGAGGCAATCTCTAAAAATTGTATGGTTGGATTCGCCCTGATTTTAGATGAATTTTTGTTTAGAGGCTTGTTTCTCTTGTTTGATGGGTTTTTATTCTGCAAAATCTGGTTCTTCTAGGTCATTTTATATTTTGGGAATGACGGGAAGTGGTCCCATATTTTTTTGAACCTTAAAAAAGTTTTAGGAGTTTTTCTTCTCCCTTTATTTTGCCACCAACCAACTTTTTGGCCCCTTTTCTAGTCTTTAACCAAGTTTGACCCTTCCTTTTGGGTTTGTTTGTATTTCGGTTGGGTGTTGAGGTGCTCCTTGGTTGTCAAAATAGTTGTTTGTGAGGTATGGAATCACCAAAAGATGTACAAATGGGCTCTGATGTTTTTTTGAAATGTTGATGTTTCCAATAGTATGATAACCACTGTAGAACTTGATGGGACCAACTTTATGGAGTGGTCTCAATCAACTAAACTTACTA